CTAATCAGTTTTTTTCCGGGACTGGATGTTTCCAGCTCTGCCAGAGGCATCTGGAGTAGATGTTCGTAAATGGCCACTGATGTTCTGTTGATGTTCTGTTGATAGCCTTTTATCTTTCCGGGCATCTTTTGGGCTACTCCCAGTCGTTGATATGTTAAATCCATTTCCATAGAGTGATGCTTTCTCTCCTAAAAAAACTTTAAAATAATTCCCTTCCCCAAAGCAAGGTCAAACTAAGCCTAGCTGGAGAAATTGATCTTAAAAGCTGTATTGTTTCCTACAAAAAGACTATCCATAGCAACATGCTGCTGCAGTGGAAGTAAATCTAATTCCAGACGATTAAAAATGGTGTTGCATCCAATACCTGGAAAGCAATCACCTCCCTTTTTATCTAGCTCAGTCAAAGCCACTGAAGGTGTTCAACAGAGACATGGACTAACCCAGAATAGTCTGGAAGAGAAGGAGGAACAATCAGATGTTTATGAACATGATCTAAGTGGGAATATAAACAAATTATTTAGCTGTTCTGCGATAATTGACCTCACACCACTTCCACATTTAATTTGGCAATTTTTAACTTCTTTTCCCAGTTCTTTTGGTGTGATATACACACATTCCAGCATCATTATCTACTGTGTACCTAATAACTGAATAGGATTGATTCTGTCCACATGCAAAGCCCTGGGAATGCTCCCTTACAGTCAAGTGTAAGTAAGTGAACAAGCTAATTTTTTATTCTCCCAACTTTTAGTAGTAGTAAAACGCCAAGGCTGGCCACACAACCTAAGTACAAGGTCCATGATTGCTTAATCATACTACGTATCAATGGTATTTCATAACACAGTGTCATATGTAAACTTATGTAGTTTATTTACTGTCATGTGGTTTTATTGTACACCTGCGAAGTTCCTTTTCATTAATATGTATATTTGATTAACCAACTGGTCTTAATATGTATATTTGATTAACCAACTGGTCTTAAGATCTGTCTATGCTTCGATTGATTTGCAGGAGTTTGCTGAACAGGAGTTTGCTGGTAATAATTTACATAACTACATATATACAAATGTTCCTAAGAACAACTGTCATTTGAAGGGGCTGAAGGTCATCTGGTTCTTTGTTCTCAGGATTGTTAAACTCGCAGTCTGCATTTCTAGAAAGATACACTTGCACATACTCATAGGCTACACAAGGAGATATTTACCAAGCTGCCCAGGGACATGTGATAGTAAAGTTGAAGCAAAATAATTCCCTACTGCAAGAATTTAATGCATGTAACTATTTTAAGTAAATGTCACATGCTCAGATTCACTATGAAGATCAATTTGCAGTAACTCTCTTGTTTCCTCCAGCCTGATTTCCAATTTATGTTAAGCAGAGCAGTGCCATGTTACATTTCCTCTGTTATTAAACAGAGCTGAGCTCAGGGATGAGGTCCCAAGGAACACTTTAGTCATTTTGGAACATGCCATTTCACACGTGAAGGGGGATTATGTGTTGTGAGAGCTAACAGGAATTGTGCTGTGATGAAACAATGAGAAAACTGCTTTGTGCTTGTGTCTCTTCCATGTTTTTCCACCAAATTCTGCATGCTGCCCTGGGTTCTTTATGTCAGCTTGTCAAAGCCCTGACAATGTCCTTTTGTCTCCTGAACATTAACTCCACCACACAGCTATCACAGGATATGGACTGGGCTGTTAGTGGTTACCAGTCCTATTCAGCCTGCCCAAGTTCCTATCCCTTTTCCACACATACACGTGTACACACAGTTTGCATAGGTTTCTGTATGGAGTTGAAATGGATTGGATTTAAGACCCCATAAGCTTTGCAGATCTGGAATCATACCTAAGTTACAGACCTTCGAGGTCTGCTTTACGTAAGATTCAGGTCCAATTTCATGGGCAGCTTAAGCTGTCACTAGCTGGCACTGGTGCTGAAAGAAGTATCCAGACTCTTTGCCTGTCCTTGACTGACCCCATCTATTGTGCCAGCAGAAGTTTCTGGCACTGGTTCACTCAAAGAAGGCAGGCATTTGACTACATCCTCGTGCTGCTTATTCCAAAAATAACTTTTAATTTGTATTAACTTTTTCCCCACATCCAATGCTAATAAAGAACTGTACAATGAGCTGACATTATGCAAAAAGCTGCAAACTTGGTCTAAACTCCTAGTCCTTCATTCTACTGCAGGTCTGTGCTTAGCTTCATGTGCCAAGGACAGTTCACTGACATTCATGTCTGGTAAAGATGAGGACAAAAGTTCTTAAAACAAAGAGAGGAAATATTTAACAGCAGCAGCTATCTTTCAGCTCTGTAGAAACTTCTCACAGAATATAAGCAAGAAAAAAAATAGCACAAAATAAAATCTCTTCCAGACCTATATTTGCCTCTGATGTCAACAAGGAATAATATAGAAATGATCCTTTTTGTCACTGGAATGCCAGTGAGTTAAAAACCCACACTTTGGATGGTAAGCTTTTGGGAGAGGTTGAAATGAGGGCTGCTTTGTGTTCTACAGGACCTGCATAACCTGGACAGAAACCACCCCTGCTTTGCATGTCTCTGCTGGTAAGAATGGGCTGAGGAACATAAATCAAAGATGTGATGGGGCTGTCTCCTGTGCTTCCACAGTCCTGTGGCTCCCGCGAGAGAGACTGAGAGTCTTTTAGTAGATTTTACGCCAAGAGGAACCAGGCTTTGGCCCTGTGTCCCCGTTAGCATAGCTCCCCAGGGCTGGCAGGGGTTGGGTAAGGGCTGCTGCAGACGCAGCGCTCCTCAAGCAGCAATCCTCCCCAAGCCTGCCCCAGCTGAGCCTGGAGTCTGCATGGTTTAGTGCAGATCATGTTCTTCCTTAGCAGTCAAATAAATACAGACAGTACTATTTTGGAAGTGGGACAGAGTAAGAACAAAGTGGCTGGATTTCAAAACTGGCTGTGAGCAATTATGCACTTGAGATTTAAACCTCTTTTGGATTTACAGGCCCACCAAAATCTTATGACTATCTAACAAGTCTAATCCTTTACACGAGTTTACAGCCAAATCCTTTGATTATTACTAACACCAAGGTCACTGGTGCTATATGAAATATTGGAAAATATATGTGATTTTGTGTTTTACCTCCTGATTAATCCACTTGAGTGTGAAATAGGAAATCTGCCCTTAATTCCTAGCTGCATTTGCAGATCATGTAACTAGCAACTTAATTATCATCCATGCCTCTAGATAATTTTTCTCAGCCTACATGTCTAATTGTGAGATATTTTGAAATCTTTTGAAGGCAAGTATTATTCAAAATTCATTTATACACATTTATACAATGGCTATATTTTTGTCTTCCTCAGCATACCTTTGGCTGCCTAAGGAACAGACTAAATCAGGTGCTCTTTTCAGTAATCTGTAAGAATAGAGCTAGATAAATTGTGTAAAAAATAGCTTTTTTTTGACACAGGGATATGCTCTCCTCATCAAAGATGACTCTTTGCCCACTGAAAGGTGTCCTTAATATTCTTACTTGTTTTTAATAGTACAAACCTCATAACCACAATTTAAACTTAACCTGCTCATGATGGTAAGTGTTGCAAAAAGTAGCACTTAGGAAAAAGAAATCTATGTGGTCATACAGTAGATCTCTTCCAAATAAATCAGAAATGTCTTGCATCCCTCTGGTGTTAAGGATTAATTTGGGCCACTCTTCCTATCAAAGTTAGTAAATACAACTCTCTTTTCCAGCAACAAGTATCAAGCAAGTTGAAGAACTTTAATCTTGAACCTGCCAAGAGAAAACACAAAAGGCAAAAAACCCTCAAAGTGTTTTAGACATTCATCACCTTGGGCTTCTCAACAGTTGACTTTTCAGTTATTCTAAACACTAAAAGGCGTCAGTTTCTCTAAGAGATAATTTCTAATCCACAGTGCAAGCTAGAACACAGAACACACAGGAAGTGAATCCAGCAAATAACAGCAGCATTCGTGGAATTTGCAAAACTCACAGATGAGGTTAGTAATAAGGGTTAGAGAAGGGGAGGACAAGATAAGATTGGAGTTTTGTTTGTATTTCTGGCTTTGCAGTTTGTTTTTTTTGCCTGCACTGGAGAACATAGGTTTTTACTTGTTTCTGGTTTTCATCAAGTTAATAAAAACATGCTGCAGCAGAGCTTATCTGAATACCATACCCTGAGGTGGTAAAGTAAAAGCTGCTCCAATTAGTCTCTGTCATCCAAATTGGTGGTGGTGTTATTGAATGGGTTTGCTAATGGCAAGGACGCTGCAACAGTTAAAAGGAGCACTTTTCTGAAGAGGATACTGTTGGAGGTTTATATAGTTGAACTGGTATTTTTGTCCAGAAATCTTCTCATTTCTTAATGCATTCAGCAGCTTTAACTAAAATTGCTTCATTTACATAGGGTGTAAAATTCTAGTTGTATTTAAATGGGTGGGAATGGGTTCCCCCTATGGTTGAAGGGACATTGCTGGCAATGTATCCAGGCCGGTTTTCTTCTGCATACAGCCCAGATAGACGTGCAAGTTCAGGACATGTAAATGTTACTATTAGTTTAAGATTCTTAGCTCAAGAATCAAGAGTATGCCCGGTACTGAATTAAAAAAAAAAAAAAAAAAAAAAAAAAAAAAAAAAAAAAAAAAAAAAAAAAAAAAAAAAAAAAAAAAAAAAAAATAAAAAAAAAAGAGAAAAAAGCCGATCCAAACTATTTTACGGAAATATATTTTGCAGTCTTAGTGTAACACATATTACACAAAATATGAAATGTGTGATGAGTTATATTTAAACACTAGGTCTCCAGTCGCAGTGTTATTGTAAAACACGCTTTTGTTGAGGGAGTTTGTATTTGAAAGGTGAATTCCGAGGAAGTGTCAGGTAAGGAGTTCTTTGTTTCCACTTGCGGTCAAACGGTGCAGTGTGATTAGAGGCAGGCCCGTTGCCGTACTGTTTGACAATGACTGTAACCCGGTGCGCGCAGCGAGCAGCAGCAGCGGCGGCTCCTCCCGCGGCCCGCCCGGCTCAGGCGCTGTGCGGGCTCAGGCGCTGCACGGGGCCGGGCACGGGGACAGGCACGAAGCCGCTCCCGCCGCTCGGTGGGGGCATCCGCGCGCACAAGCCCAATTATGGCCGCGCGCCGGGCTCGCGCGCCGCCGGGCCAATCAGGCGGAGCGGCGCGGGCGCGCGCGCTGTCCCGTGACCCGCGGCGCGAGCGGCGGCCACAGGCGACAGGCGGGGAGCAGCGGGGCCGGGATGGCGCGGAGCGGTGCGGCGCTCGGCAGGGCGCTGGCCGGAGGGGCCGCCGCCAGGTAACGCGGGGCGAGGCGCGGCGGCCGCGGGCGGGAGACACAGGGACCGCTGGCATGGTTAGAAACTCGCCTCTTTGCCCGAGCCAGTGGCGGAGTTGTGAGCAATCTGTCAAAGGAATTAAAAACTCAGGGAAGCGCCCGGAGGTTTTCTGCTTCAGATAATGCAGCTAGTTCCTTCTCACCTGAGTGTGTGTAAGGATGGCTGCAACAACTTGAAAAAAACTGTATGCTTTGGGAGAAGAGTTAATCTTACAAGCGAAAGAAAAAAAGAGCAGGCAGATGAGAGAAAGTGCACTTTAGAAATCTTAGTGTAAAAGAAAAGGTTCACCTGTTACCACAATTATGGTAGTGCTGTGTTGTAGCCTTGGAGCTGGGGATGCTTCTCTCCTGCAGTTGTTCCCGGAGTGCACTCTACCTCCTGCCACCACCTCGACAGAACCTACTGCGCTGAGTACCAAGGCTTCAAGGGCTCAGGTGGTAAATTAGCCTAGTATGTTTATTCAGACTAAAATGCTATTGAGGACACTTGATGGTACACTCATTTTTCTGGGATACGAACAGCTCTTGGTAAAGAATTTGAATGCGATCAACTCATGTCTCGCAGACCATAAAATCAGATATCACTAATCTGATGAAAGTATCAGTTAGGGAACAACTAACACATTTGCCCTAGCATGCTCCTGGCACTAATTTCAGTCTTTACACTGTGGAGTTAAGAGAGCCCTTTTTTCAAAAACTTTGATATTTAGGCTTATAGAATTGAGTAAGTATTTAAAAAAAATATAAAACCTCAGAATATGGATCACTTACACATGCATGTCATCCACGAGAAATGCTTCCTTTTCAGCTCATGGAAGTTGGCTGATACTGTGATCAGTCCTCAAACGCTTAGGGAGAAAGCAGCAAGTGGAGGAGTGAGTGGTGCCAGTGAGAGCAGTGTGAGTGGAGATGGTTCTGTCACTGGCAGAGGATAAATACAGAGGTGGCAGGTGTGTCGAGAATTGGCTTTTCTTCAGTGGCCCAGGTTCACAAAACTGTGTGATAAGGGATTTCTTAAAGAGGTCTGCTTTCCTGAACTGGCACCTAGCATGTGTGCTATTCTCACAGCATCTGTTCTTCAGATAAAATCGGGAGAGGGATGGATTCTCATCATACTTGTTAGCATTATAACCTCTTAACCTTGCCTTCCTTAAATGGCACTGTAATTGTGAAAAGGTCATTGTCTTTCAGCAGCTGAGAGATTATTTGTAGGGATTGATTTTTAGCCTTGTGGCTGAAACAAGTTTAGATGAAAACTGTATAAAACAATGAACTGGCACAGCCTTACAGTAAAAAACAAACCAAGAGACGAAACCTGGGGACTGGTTTGGATTGTGTCCCATACATAGCCCCAGATAAAGCAATTTAAATCAGCTGTGCAGAATGAGGTCTGCTCCGAACATTTAAACTCCTTCTGTGAATCTGGTTGAGGGAGCTACAATGTTGTTGGCACCCTTCCAGCATTCCTGGAAATATCAAAGCTTTTCCTTAACAGTCATGTACATTCTGTGTGGAAAAAAAGCAGACTTTGTCCACATCCCTTGAGATACTGTTACAAATATTGGCAGTTGTCTAAAGGTTTTTAAAGCGGACCTATCCTTTGTTAATTTTGACACTATACTTCTGTCCCATCTTAGTTTCTTTTCAACTGCAGTGATTACAGTGTGTTGTCAGTCATCACGATTCATATCCCAATTACATTGTTGTTTTTTAAAAAGTCTGTATATTTCGTTTCTAACCAGGTGCTAATAATTATTATTTTCCTCTAAACTCAACACCAATTTATTATTTATCTGTCTCCCGATAGTGACCACATAAGATAATGTACTCAGTCATGGGTAACTATTGTATTTATTTAGAATTCCAAGTTATGTTGATTTTTTAAAGAACATACTCTTATTTCTAATTTAATTTAATTTAATTCAAAATTGGTGACTAATTTGGTGCTTGGGAAAAAGAAAAAAAGACATCTACCTGTTCACTGTGTTTAAAAAAAGCAACAGAATAACCAAACAGACCCCAAAGATGCCTAGTTCTAAGCAGAAGAAGCTGGCTCCATTTTTAACCACATGAATACAGAAATATAGTCCTTGCTATATCATTAGAGAAAGATCAATAAAAAACCTGGGTTACTCTTTAGCTTATGTTTGTAGAGTCATTGAGGGCAAATAGTGGCATTTTTACTTTCCTGGGCCAAAATTCAGAGCTTTTGAGGTAACATTCTGCATCTTAACTGACTTGATGTAAACAAAATCAATAGTTTAGCAGAACAGAACTGTTAAACACAATAAATATTTGTTAGATTTTAGTGTAGATGTTCAGAGGGAACACTGAGATGCAATTTTAAAATTACTAGTACTTTTAAAGGTAATTTGTTACGTTTTATTTACTGTGTTCAAGGTTCTGGTTATATTTTCTGTAGGAAATGTTGAAAGCTGGGTAAACAATGCACCTTTGGAAAGAACTTTCAAAATGAAATTGTCCTTTTAAGAAAAGTGTGGCAGCAGAGAGATTGTAGCAGAGTTCAGTTTACTATCTCCAAGTGAAACCTCCTCTACTTTGTGTATTCCAAACGAGTAAAGTATTGCAAACTATGCCTTGATGTTGCTGTTAAGGAAGCCTGTTCTGCAAACTAATTCCATGTGAGACTTGAATGTGAACTCGAGCTGCCATGAAGGCTGTGTTTAATGAGGCCCTTTGTATTCCACTCTGCCAGTTACTTTCCTCATGACTGAGGGCTATTTTCAGTTTATCTTAAAGGAAAAAAAAAAAGGTGACTCTTGTGTTTTTTACAGTTTGTATATTGTTAGGAGCCTTTGTTTTTCCATCTATTTCTGCTATTTTCTGGAATGTTTTACAACAGATTGTCTCACCTGAATGAATTGTTATTTATTTTGCTGGTATGAAACACATTTAAAAGCATTTTCCCTGTTTCAGGCACTTGGCTTCTTGTGGTGTTCTGATGACYAGAACTGCTCCTTTGCAAGTACCTGTAATGAGCCATACTTTTTCAAGAAATTTCTTCAATGTTGTTGCACCACTAATAAATAAAAGAAAAGAATACTCTGAAAGAAGAATTATAGGGTTTGTATAAAATTGTGGAAAGAGACTTTAAATGCTTATTGATTTTGTGTTTGCTCTAACTAATCCAAAACACTGAAAACACATCCAATACACAGTAGTTCAAAAGACTGAATGTCCCTGAAGACATATGTCCCTATGACTGTGCCCAACTGGAGCCTAGAAAGGAGTTTTGACCTTTAGAATTTGTAGAGATCAGGTTTACCAGCCTGAAATTGAGTAGAAAGAAGTGGGAACCCAAAGCCCGTGGGCCATAGCAAGAAACAGCAGAAATAACTGTTCTATTCCATGAGAAAATAAAAACCAACCTTGAAATGGAATAATACACTAATGATTTCATTTAGTAAAAAGTGAATAAAACAACAGGTGTGAAAACTCTGTTCCGTTGTCTCCCAAATACATACCAATGTTTGCATTTCTATTGTACTTCTCAAGATTTTCTTCTTTCTTTAAAAGAAGAAAAATAATTGGTTGTGTGATGAAGAAATTTAGACACAGAAAAATATTTTGAACTTTTGTTTGCCTTAGAGCTAGTGGGAAAATCCCAGTTAATTTAATGATACTGGGATCTGCGCCCAGTCTCTGGTCCATAACAGTGTGAACTGTTTCTTAGCTTTTTTTTTATTTTTTTTTTTTTACTATACTTAACATTCCCTTATTTGATAGTTCTTGAACTGCAACACATCTTGCCTAAGCAGTTAAAAAGGGTCTTTGTCCAATCGTCCTCACTGCTGAGTACTGTTGAACATATACTTCATTTTAAAGGAAATTAAGCAACTACTTAATCCCAACTGTTTCAGAGTCAGAATGAAAAATTAAAAACCATAGCTATGTAGTACTGTGCCATGTTGCAGTAGAATCAGCTGAAATGTTGCCTTAATATTGTTTCATCTGATTTCAATATCCTGCTTGAGCCAGGGTGTTGGACAAGATGAGGTCCAGAGCTCCCTTCCRACCTCAGCTATTYTGTGATGCTGGAAGGCTTTTCCATCTATTTTTTCATTAAGTTTTTCCACTTGGGCTAAAATAAGAATGATACTGCTCCTCTGTTTAAACCTTATAAAAAACAGTACTTGAGTTTTAGTATACCTTGTCTTCATAGCCACGAAGTGTGGAATTTTTTTTTTATTTTTTTTTTTGGTGGAATGGTCAAGATCTGCCTAAATGAAGAAACTGTTGTGCTGGAAAAAATGTTTCCATTTGAAATTTATGCATATTTACCTGAAATTGCAGAAAGTAGCAGGCATTAGGTTAATTATTCACTAATGTTACTGCTGGATGGTATGTGATATTTTGCTTCTTTATGCAAAAGCAATTAGCAGTGTATTACTGTTCTTTCATTTTAATTAGCAAAGCTGCATTTCCARTTTCCATAATCAGTAGTAATGACTACATCCACCTTCCAACCACGTATGCCACATATACCATCTTTGAAACTTTTTACTGCTGAATTTGAGGTTAAAATACCTTGTAACTGTAATATTCATGTGTCTGTTTCCAGGTACTCCATGCAGGAAATGTAYGAAGTTGTTGCTGTTGTGGAGAATTACAAACTGTTTGTTCCTTGGTGTAAAAAGTCAGATATACTCTCGAAGCGCTCTGGCTACTGCAAAGCACAGCTGGAAATAGGATTCCCTCCTTTAGAAGAGAGATACACATCAATTGTAACCCTAGTGAGACCACATTTAGTTAAGGTAACTGCATTTTTTCCCTCCTAACTATAAATTTCCTTAASTTTTGTGTGTTGAAATTTGAATATTCCAGGAACATTTTGCTTCCAAACGAAATTGATGCTGGAAGTTCTTTGTGTGGCTCAAAACTTGTGTTGCTTTTCTTTAAAGACTTTAGATAAACTGAAGAGAATTTTGCTTTCCTGGGCCAAAATTCAGAGCTTTTGAGGTAACATTCTGCATCTTGACTGACTTCATCTAAACAAAATCAATAGTTTAGCAGAACAGAACTGTTAAACACAATAAATATTTGCTAGATTTTAGTGTAGATGTTTAGAGAGAACACTGAGATGCAAATTTAAAATTTCTAGTACTGCCACATGAGGGAAGAGAAGGAATTTTAATTTGCCTTTGTTGACGAAGCTGGCAGCCATTAAATGAAGATAGAACATTTTTGCTTGGGTTTTTTAAAATAATGTTTTCCAAGCCTCTCTAAATGCAAAATTAGGACTCAGTTAAAAGTTACCTGACAACTCTTAACTTCCAATGCCTTAACAAAGTTGTTATCTGTCATTATTTTTCTTCTCACAATTTTAACTATTTAATGTGAAAAGCCTTAAGTTTAAGTGTAGGATGTGCTGAAGAGATTGTTACTCARTATATTGATGAGAAGACAGAGGTGTGCATTAAAAGTCAACTTTTTTCCAATTAATTTATTCAGAAGAGAAGCAGTTGCATTTCTCCTTCCAGYTTTTCRAGAGCAATAATTAAGAGWAAAGTAGAAAAGTGCCAAGGAAGAYATTTCAAATGATGCCTGGATCTTCTAACTATTCATTTGCCTTATATGTTCAAATCTGTTTTGATAAAGAATTGCTCAGAACAGACTCCTTATAGCAAAACTGCCTGTCCTTTGGCAGATCCTGATTGGTTTGGAATAATCAGTGGAAATTATAGCAGTTGATTGCTGTTTAAGATAATTGTTTRAAAATCCTATTTCACTRTTCTTTTCKAGGCTTCCTAAYAAGAGACACYTAACAGAAAATGAGTTTCTGAAGTMYAGGGARATGTAAATTGGAAAAGAAATATGMAAAATGCCTTTATTCAATATTCTTACTGATTCTGGAAAGAAAAAATATTTTTCTCCCTTTATTTAAAAAAGTTGAGATGCTGTAATGGAAAATCTGGGCTTTACATGCTGAGAGCTTTCCTTGTCTGCTGTTCCCTGACAAGACTGGCTTTTTTCTTTCACATAGCTATCAGATTGGCTTACCAACTCTTTTTCCTTCTTAATTCACTCAAAATAGGCATTTTTGTCTCAGAAAAAGAAACAACAAAAGTGGTGAAAAAACGATTTCTTCAGATTTCCTCCCTGGAGACTCATTAGCCTTTTCTCTGCTATAATTTCTTTTGCTAGAGGTTTACATTTTGTCCATAGAACTGCAGGAACATTCTTAGAGAAGTGCTTAGATTATTTCACTGTTCTCTCAAGTAACTTCAGGCAAAGGCACCTTTCATGGTGGTCAGGCACAAAATRGGAATGGGTTTGTTGCTTAAGRTTTTTCCTTTGTGTASTGCTTAAAWAATGGAAAAATCAGGCTGGTAACAGCAGTTTGTGCTGAGGGGGAAAGCATGAAGGGAGTTTGTTACTTCTAAGACTGGGAGAAAGGGGGACACAGTGGCAATTTTCMCATTCTTCCTGCAATTTTGACAGCAGTAGGGAAAAGCAGGCCCAGCTCTTTGTGTCTAATCTTCCCTCTACTCCTTCTCTTTCTGATGTAGAAGTAAAGGCCTCACATGATCTCATTCCTGGAGAGAAAAATGTAGGTATTTTTGTGCTGGTGGTTAGTCTTCGAGATTACTTACCTTGCCATGGCTTTCCAACCCAAACAACACCTATTCCCTGTGTGCAGTCTGTTGGAGCAGAGCTGCTTGTGGTAACAATAAGAACTTGTTTTTTTAAAAAAAAAGTTACATACATTTTCTCTACAAATTCCAAGCCAGTTGAGGTTATGTATTTGGATGATTTTGAAGTGCATGTCTTTTAAACTTTTTTTCTGTTATAGATATAGCCCACAAAATTAGTTCTATGTGCTAAAAGCAAAATGAGTGAAAATTAAGAGCCTTTTGTAATGAAAACTACAAAGCCAACTACAGCCAATACTTTCCTGTTTCAAAGGAGGACTCTCTGCAAGGCCTTTTGAAGCATTAGATACAGCTTGCCAGGAACCAGAAGCCAATATATAAGCTGATCAGGAGCTGGAGTGTGTAGTCTTACTGACTTCATGGCAGCTCTTGGTCACAACAGTATYTTTTGACATAGTTTCTTTGGAGTTTGTCTTTGATCAGATTTGTCTTGAGGCTGAGCACTCGTGTGACCCAAAGTCACCAGTCTATAGATCAGTATATAAAAYATACTATTCTAGAGTATTTCTGTCTCAAACCCCAGTAAATATCCACATCCTTTGCTTAAAGCAGTGTTGGTCAAAATCTGGGTATATAGCCAGCATGATATTCTATGCATCATGCCACAGATATTTTATGACATTCAACACACAAATTTTTCCTCTGCCTTGAAAGGACTTCAGTTATTTTCCCATAAATGACACTGTGCATATGGGATCTCATGCTGGCTGTGCTGTAGGAACAGTTTTAACTATGTCATGATCATCACTATACAACAAAATGCAAACACAAGCTTCAGTAATACCTGTTCTTCATATCTGTAAAATCCTAACTGTAGCTTGATTTTTTTCAAATGTGTTTTAGGCATCGTGCACAGATGGAAAACTCTTTAATCACTTGGAAACAGTGTGGCGTTTGAGCCCAGGTATCCCTGGTTATCCAAGGACRTGTACACTGGATTTTTCAGTAAGTATGGTAATGAAAACTACCACATGCTAGAAGCAGCACATGGAAACGCTTCTCTTCAACTGAGGGGGCCTTTTAAAATGCCTGTACTATCTCTTTAAACATATATACACAGAAAACTAGTTTGCTTTAGTCAATACTGTCCAAAAAACATTTTGTAAATTTTACTACCGGAAACCATTTCAGTGTCCTTCAGAGACAGCAGCTTTCTGTGARGTGTCCATGTATCACAGAACAGTCTAGGACAGGCACCTCTCACCCCAGAGTTTTAAACACACTGAAATTTTTAGACAGTAACATAGAGGAGAAATGCTAAATATGCTTTACTATTTCCTTTCATTACTCTGCAACCTAAATTCTCTTGCTATCATAAAGCTGATGTTCTACCATTTGTCCTGTTTGGGCTGCAGTTTGGTCAGTTTAATTTCCTGTCTKCCARCTTTATTCTTTAATGCATTTCAAGCCCTACTCCTTCCTTCTCTAATACAAGTATAATAGACTWTTGCTGTCTCTCTAATCTATGATGGGATAGCACTGCAGACCAAAACTATTGCTCTTTAAATCCACTATCTGATTCAGCCTGATTTCACTGCCAGACAAGTTGTTTTCTGAGTTACTGCTTTTCCATGTTGTCTGTTTTGTTTGTCATCACTTTTTTTCTTGCATTTTATAACAAAGTGTAGGTGTTGCATTGAGCTGGGGGTTGTAAAAGGCTGCAAAATACACAGAGGTGGGCTAATCCTGCTGCCATCTGCTGGCATACTCTGCTTTGAAAATTATCTTCAGTAAATAGAAAAAAAGAGRTTTTAGACTAGCACATTAACCTTCTTGGGTTATTAACTTACAGCTTACTGATGTATTATACCTCATACAGTTCAAGAGTAAAAATTAATCTACAGGCACTCAATCACATTTTTAAATTATTTGCATGTTATTTGCTCACGTTATTTGAATTACTTTAGGCAAATAAATGTCAGTTTTTTCTACTAACTAATACAGAGGATGTCTTTTAACCCAAGCCATAATACAATTAAAAAACTTAGATTACAGGGTTTAAATAGTTGTTTAATTCAAGTACATGCTCTCTGAGGAAACAACACTACACCTCCCCAAACCAAAGCCMCATTTTGACATTTCCAGCCAAGATCTTCAGTTAAAGAGAATCAAAACTGAACTTGATACGGACATTTTCATTTTCTTGGGGGAACACTATCAACCCATATTAGTACTTACCATATTTTGAGACAGTAGAAGCCAGTGCAGTCAGCTGAGATTAACCCTGGCCAGTGACTGCCCTGCTGGTCCTTGCCTCTGGGCACATGCAGGCAGGGATGATAAGCATTTCACAACAAACTTGTCAAAACAGGCCCTGCAATTACAGATATTCAAGAGAAAACTTGGATTTCAAGAATGCTTCTTTGCTTCAGAAAATGTTATTTGAGTTTTGGGCTATGCTGGTTCCCACAAGCTGCTGTATCTCCTGTTGTGCCAAACTGATTCCAGGAGACATGCACATACAGCGGGGAACTTTCCTAGTTTGRTTTCAGCTCTGAAATTATTTGGTTTATAGACTGAAGCACATCACCATTTTTATCATCTGCAAGCTTCATTAATGTATAACATACTCAAAATTTACATAATTGCTGAACATGATGCCAAACTCATTATAGCTGTTCTGCAAAATTCTGCGTGCCCTAAATGACAGCTCTCAGACTTGCAAGAGGCACATTCGTTTTGCTGATGCTTGAGGTCAAGCAAATGTAAATGAAATTACACTTGGCTTACACGCCAAGTTGTTTAATTACTTCCGTGCTACTGCTTTGCAGTTAACATGCATTGCTCATAAGGAATTGGGGAGAAGCTGTATCTGCTCCTTGTGGAATTAAATCTCCTGATTTCACAGGAATGACAAAAAATACTTAAATCCTAATCAGGTTCATTGACTGCCCATGTCAGGTTGGGAGTAGGAGCTGTTTAGGTGGAAGATACGACACACAAACCAAATCAGTTTTAGTCATTAAACTGCTTGTTTAATGAGTTTTAATGACTTTAATGACTTGAACATACCATAACTACTGCCACCAATGAGGAAAGACTGATTAATTTAAAATAATCAATTTAAAATATTGGCATTTAAAAGGTAACTATTTCAAGCCACTTTTAAGTTTCTTGGTATACTCCAACTTACCTATTAGGTTGCTGTCTTGCCATGCAGGAATTTCTTCAGATAACTTTTGTCCTCCCAAGTGAATTTTGTACACAAAATAAGTTATTGTTTACCAGTAGTTTCTCATTATTTCAAACCTCTTTTGTCATGCATCATTTATTAAATAAAAGACAGTTTAGGTAAACATAAATGACTACTTCAGAGAACACAATGAAAGGATTCCTCTAATTGAAAAGCCCAGAGGGACAGTCATCAGACCAAGGAATATGGCATTTCTTCACAGCCACACTCACCTATTCCTCAATTTTAACTCCTCTCCTACAACTTACCTGCAGCCTTCACTGGAGATTCTTTGATAGAGTTGTCTATTTGTGACAGCATTTACAACAGCAGATACTGGGAAAATAATAATCTTTTATTTTCTTAACAGATTTCTTTTGAATTTCGCTCACTTCTACACTCAAACCTTGCTACACTATTTTTTGATGAAGTTGTTAAGCAGATGGTTGCTGCCTTTGAAAGAAGAGCATCCAAACTCCACGGCCCAGAAACCAGCATTCCTCGGGAGCTGATGCTGCACGAAGTTCACCAGACATAAAGGGAAACTGTAACAACCTCAGCTATAAACTTATTTGTACACTTCATTTATACAAAGTGCCATGCTCCTCCTTTGGGGCATCTATTTCTTATCAGAGCTGTGGGTGTGATCTTGTACTGTACTAAACACACCTGCTCAGCCAGACWTATATAGAATGTTCAAAAGCTGCAATCAAGTGCAGCTCAAAGCCTTATCAATAACAGACACTTGGCACTCCTGTAATGCWGGCTATCTCAGGCTGCCGTTTAACACCAAACGGCTCCTGGACTCGCAGCCCAAGCTCTGCCTTAACCAAGCTTTGTCATCACTGTAACATATTAACTCAACTTTGTGGGAATGTAACTTCACAGCAGGAACTCAGCAAGCTGTGCCCAAACAGAGGCCAACTGRCATACTGGCTTCCCAGAGAATGGCAGTTTGGCAACTGAGTAGTGGTGCTTTAAACCCAAGTGAATAGCAAAGATAAGTCAGGAGACTCTAGCTGCTCCTGGAGTGACCAGCAACTGCTCTAGCACTCCCCCCAGTTTTCAGGAATGAAAGACAGGGGTGTACATAAGGAGTATTGTGAGTGCAGCAGTCAGCTATAGCCAGTGKTTCCCAGTCTGGAATCTGCAGTACATTTGGCAGGCTGAACTTGCCAGTCCTTCCCCATTACATATGGCACTTGGGTTACTTAYATCTCATCTAATGCAAACAGTACACTTCAGACCTAGTGTTATCTCTCTGAGAATGAGGGACCAGCRCTGTCCTCCCTGGAGGCAGGGAACAAGAAGTCCTGCACTGCCTGCAGACAAGCACAGCCAAGGCCAGCCATCATTATAAATCATACAAGAGAGCACTAAACCTTAGTTCTTCAAGGTTTTTCAATACCACACTCCTGCTGTGATAGTGCCATCTTGATTAAATACATGTGTAGTACTTCTTGAACCAAGTAGATAGGTTTGAAGATATTTTAAATCCTGACTTTATGCTTTGCATAAATTTGAACATTACCAAATTTCTTCACCAAAATTAGGTGAAGTTTCAGGCCAGGTGCCTCTGCAGGGTATGCAATCCATGTGGTTACTACAGAACAACATATTAAGTAACATAGAAAAGTATGTTTCAGAATATAGACAGCACTGCAACAGTTTCAGACCATTTTACTTAAAATTAGAATGCCACACATCTGATTTGTGGAAGGATAATTCTTACTAAGAACAAAGGYAGCTGAGGAAAGCAACAGGTGGATTAAGGTCATTTTTACAGAACTGTGAAGTTGTAAAGCAATTTCAACTGTTGAGGCAATCAGAGATAAACATACACAAGTCTGGAAACAGCTTTGTTCTRCAGTCTGGAAGCAGAAAAGGCTACACAATGTTATTGGCTGTGTGAGGTCAAAGAACGCACGAAGGGTAAAGCAGCATCTACTGCAAAAACCCTGCACCCCTCACCACAAAGGARGAGGTGAAGGAGGAAGGAAGGCTCAAAGGTGAGGAGGTAACCACATACTACACCTGAGCAAAGGAACTACTGAAAAACTCCAGAACCCTTTCTTAGCAGACTTACCTGTTTGATACCCTCAGGGCACTTCTCTTCCCACGGGACTGTGAAAGGTACACTGGGCCTGTTCCAGCACGTGAAACAATCAGATAGACAGGGCAAAAGAAAGTCAGTGCACGTGCCTTGTTTTCAGAGCATTGTTTAATATTTCAAAGAACTGTAGTGCAGTTCAGCGTAGGTATTTCTTACCAAAATTAAAGCACTTGCATTTCTGAGAAACATTGTAGACAAAGGAATGTTTCTCGGAGTGAAATGCCCTGTCATTTTTTTCAAGCATAAGTGTCAATTTCTAGTAAATCTTACAAGCAGCAGCAGGCTGTCCAGGCTCTCCCATAACTATGGCTTCGTGTGCAGATGAAGAAGGTGATACATTTTGTAACTTTTGAGCAGTTTATTACATAAAGGTCACATAACTCTATTTGCCTACTTTGTACACAATTGTCTAGTCTCACGCACAGTGGCTTCCAAGTTCTTCCTAGTACTGGCAAGCACCAAGAAATTCTGAAATAGAATATCAAGTGCCTTAATTAAGTTCAAATCAGGACCTTGGTAGATGGATCTTGCACCCAGTTATCAGGAATGTACAAATGTCTTTATTCAAAAAATACAAAATAAATTATCTGTAGGCATGGACAATGACTGTAAACAATTACACGTGTGTTAAATGAAATCCGGTAACTGATGGTTACAGTGATTCTTTTCAACACCAGCCTCACTTCAGTCACTATCCATCCTCTCACACTGATAGCTCAAGGTTTTCAAGTCAGAACTGTCAGTCTTCAACAGCACAGCTCATGATGCATCCCTATCCCAGGAATTAGAACATGCCACCTCCCATTCCTCCACCCATCCCACCCATTCCTCCCATTGCMGGCTCCTTCTCTTCTTTAGGAACTTCAGTCACCACTGCTTCTGCTGTTGATAGGAGAGAGGCAACACCTGCGGCATCCATCAGAGCAGTTCTCACAACCTAAAAATAGGCAAGAAACAACTTCAAACCTGCTGACCATTGCAGGAGTGGGARGAAGCATAGCGAGAATTAAGACCTTTAGGTTACCTTTGTTGGGTCTATGATTCCTTTTTCTACCATATTTACAAAGTCCCCAAGCATTGCATCATAGCCAACTTCTGATGGGCTCTGCAGGATTTTTTCAACTATCAATGATCCTTCGACACCAGCATTCTTTGCAATAGTCATTGCTGGGATTCTCAGTGTTCTCTTGATTATTTCAATGCCTGCAAGAAACACAATGGTTACAGCTCTGTATACATACCCCACTTCCACTGCTAAGGAATGCCCATCGTGATGGAGATCAATACAAAGATAAAATCCTCCAAACAAGAACATGAGCTATTTTTATCAGTTTCAGGAGCAAAGGTTCTCTGCTACTTGATACTTGCCAACAAATGAAATCGTTGCAGGATATCCACACACATTTTAGTTTTACTTCTATAAAAAAACAGTAAGGCGTTTTATTACTCTTTATGTGTAACGTGACACAAAGCCTTTTTCCATTTGATTTGCCACACAGTCTCTTGAACATTATTACATTTATATCTGTCTGCAATTAGTTTAACAACCAGCTCCCAACTCTAAGCATTTGGCACTCTCTGTTGTGATAATGCTGCTTTGCTGCTACTGGGTCTTTCACACTGCAGTTAGTGATGCAGTGAAAACGCTCCTTCCCACTTGAAAACAGACACCACACCAAAGAAATCTGAGGTTCCCACATTAACTAAAAAAATCACTGAAAGCCATCTGCATTTCATCTGATAGAGCCTCAGGACAGGAGAAAGTCTGTTTGCATCACTTCCACACACRTCTTCCAGTCATTTGCTTACCGATTTTCTGATCCTCGTTGGCTGGAGTTAAGGCATCTAAGGCTGGGATGCAGCGCAGCAGTGCACAGCCACCACCTGGGACAATGCCCTCCTCCACGGCCGCACGGGTGGCGTTCAGGGCGTCAGTGACCCTGTCCTTCTTCTCATTCACTTCCACATCGCTCGTGCCACCCACCTACGAGCAGCAAGCCACACATCAAGGTCCACCAAAGAGCACAGGTGGRACAGCACTGCTGCCACCAAATTAAGTAGCCAATGTCTAAGAAGTGCCAGAAAGCCAACCCACCCTCTCCCATACTGGCAGTCTTCTTCTCTACCTCAGCACTCAAGAAGCCTAAGCACAGGTTTGGGTTCATCATTTCATCAARTTCTTAATACCTTCAATACTGCTACTCCATCAGAGAGTTTGGCCAATCGCTCATTCAGTTTCTCTTTTTCATATTCACTGGTGGTAACCTCTAGCTGTTCAATGATTTCTTGAATGCGTTTTTCAATCTGAGCCTTTTCACCCTTCCCCTTAAGGAGCATGGTGTCATCTTTTGTCACAATGACCTCTCCAACTTTACCAAAGTCATGAGGCTGAATATCTTCCACATTTAGGTTCAAACCCTCTTCTCCAAATACCTGAAAGAAATCATGTAAAAAGTTGGAATTCACAGGTTCCCCACACATCAGTTTTTTTATCTACAGGCACACTCATATACAGCAGGCTAATGCTGCAAAATAACCACATTATTGCAGTTCCACCCYGTGGGTGMAGAACCTCTYGCTGATATCCAACCTAAACCTCCCCTGACACAGTTTCATGGTGTTTCCTTTGCTCCTGCCACTGGTCACCTCTTTGTATTTTGAGAAGTTACAGATATTGACACTTCATTAACTTTAGAGTTTGCTGGTTTGTTATTTTGTGCTACCATTAGCT